TTCGTTGTTTCCGAGAGCGTTATCCTTAGCCTGGGCCTGGACGAAAGCAGTTTATGAATCCATTAAGACCGAAAAATGAATCCTTATAGTGCTCCATTAGAATACTATCTAAAAATTATTTGTGATTCATTGCAAATTCTTATGGAGTATAATAAGAGTCCTTTTGGTATGCGAGAAAGGGCTCCAAATTGGTGACATAAAAGTGAGTTCTTTTGAAACTCTTAAGAATACATTTAGAATAGAAATGGGACAGATAAAGAATTCATTTCATAATTTGGGAATTCAAAAAGAATTCTTTTTGGATTCTTTGTGCTATCTGGGTTTCCTATTATAAATTTGATTAAATTCTCATTCTCAGACTCAGGGGTTAAGGAGGATTAACAGTTCAGGCAGTAAGTTCATGTGTAAAAAAATGATATAATAAAAATGCAGGTTTTATTTTAAAAATTCAAGATTACCTTTATGTAACCTTCAAACGACTATCCAAGGTCAAACCAATGATACTTATGTCCCCCTTAAAACAATATAACTTTTGTCTGAAACATTTGTTTCTAAAATGCATAGTATTCGAAAAATTTAGAGGTTTCCATACTTTTCCTCACCTTGTATATGTATAAGATATGTGTAGTTACTTCTTCCAAATACCTTACAGGCGAGCTGCGGGCACCACGATCTAAACACTCTAAAACCATCAAGTGATTATTTATCACGTTTAACTCAAATTTTGGTAGCCTTGTAACCTTTGTAAATATTTTCTTTCTTGATGATCGGATTACTTTTTTTTTTACATTGAATGTCATATAATTTGCTCAATATATGTTACTGAACTAGAAATAAAAATAAATAAATAACGAAATATACCATAAGTTTATCAATATAAATTAAGACAAGGTATAATTATTAATTCAATTGTATTTCAATTTACTTGCATTTTATTGACACTCAAATTAATGACAATATTAAAAACGTATAACGGTGACAAATATTAAAAATAACAATCAAGTTTAACTTTATGAAAAATAGCTTACTGTCTCGTCGGAAATGGTAGTTGCAAAAGTTCCTAACATTATAATAGGTACACAAAATGACCCACAGAACTACGATTAAAAATCTCAATAAAATATAATTTCGATGAAGATTATTATAAAACATAACTGATATAAGTCTGTAAAGAATTTTTACTTTTTTATTTCCTTCCATTTTAGATCAACACAAAAAGACGAGAAATTATAAGCAATCTATACAAAATATATTTAATAGTAGTTTTATCCGTATACACAAGTTCAAATAAAATATTACTTTTAGTGTGTCTTTCATTCTTTCTTAGATTCTTACATACATTCTTACATTCTTACATAAATAAAAATCAAAAGTTATATTTTTAAGAAACCAAACACATGTTTATTCATTGTAAATTAATCTTTAACACGAAAAAAAATCTTTGTTTCGCGTACTTTTTTAAATTAATTTATAATTAAAACTATAATATTATATGAATTGTAGTAAACAGCCAATCCAAATTTTTTAAGGCATAGATGATAGTATCACTGAACAGTATCACAAGTTTTGACTTCGAGTATTTCACTTTTCTTAATCAGTTCCATGATCTTATTTGAATCTTCTGGTGGTAGACTTCGAAATACTCTAGAATTCGTAATTATTTTTTCATGGAATTTAATGAAAGTTGCCAAATGTGTTTCTAAAACTTTTGCGTTTGACGAAAAAGCAAGCTGTACAAGTTCCACAGTATTGTCAACCGTAAAAGAACGTACCAAGTAATGTTCACATATAAATTTTAAAGTTGGTACATCATATTTATCAGATGTTTTTAACAATTCTTTAAACATGTAATAATCACTTTCGTTTATTGACAATGAGCCAGTTAAAATATATGATAAAATCTTTTTAAAAGTATGCATCTCACCAAGTTCATCTAATTCACTTGTCATATCTTTTTCCTCCCCTTCATGCGTAAGACAGACATTCATAAAGTAGCTACTGTTGGTAGCCCACAACAACTTTTTTGATATAATGTATGATTCCTCTCCTACTACAAATTTGATTGACTTCTCGTTCTTAGACTCAAATTTAAGGGTTGAGTTGTTAAGACGTTTCATGTCTTTGAATATTGCTAAGGAAGATAGTAAATCCATATGCATTGTGTTACTTATTAATTTTTGATAAATTTCAATCTCGCAATGTATCACACAATCATAATACCATGGGCATGATAGCTTAATTTCAACTAACAATGTCTTATCATGTATAATACCAGAAACATATTTTAACGATTTATTTGACTCGCTGCAACATATGTTACTATCTGTTACAGTAGTAGTACACGAACCGGTAAACGCTGTAAGAGTACGTATATGAAATTTTATTATTTTATCTTGATGTGAACTATTCATTTCAATCCTGAATTGATCTTCAGCAAACGGTGAAGATAGTAGTGTACTTGTGGCTTTGTAAAAACGATCAAATCCTACAATTTTCCATGTATATTCAAATGTGGTGAATTCCATTCGTGACTCAGAATAGCTTTTGGTACACGAAGGTAAATATGGTAAAGATTGAGTCATCTCACAATCAGTAGAGATATTATCAACTTCTTTGTCAGACACCTGGAAATATTTAAGTTACTTATCACTGATGAAAATAAACAACATCAAAATATAAAAGCCTAAAAGCCTCTATGCCTTTTAATAAGATCGGTTGAATTTAAAAACAATGTCTTAACATACAATATAATAACATATTTACATGTACAGGTAAGAGCTATTTGCAAGCTGAGTCCACCAAAAGTACATGGAGATTTTTTAGACTTTCTATGTACAGGTATTTAACGTATCTTATTTAATTAAAATAATATTTTATGTAAGAAAACCACTGATAATATGAAGAATCCAAATTGTAGGAGAGATCTTAAAACATGGCTATTTCTATTAATTCAGTTATAATCGATTTTATAAATACTTGAAAAGTTTGTCTAAATTTTGCCTTACACATTTCACTGAATAATTAACAAACTAACTTTCTAAGTGAGATCTCAAACAATCTATAATACTATAATTATAATCTATAATTGAAAACAGATTTGATATGTAAATGTTTGTGAATTCTCCCTGTTATACCTACATGGATTTATCGCTTTAAAAAATATCATCGAATGTATAGTTTGTACAAAATTTTATATGCCTTCTTGTAACACGCACTTGGCGAAGTTGAGAAAAGAACTGTTGATACTCACTTGGTTCTTCGCCATTATATACGTTCGTCTTTCAAATATTTTGGTCGGTTAAAGATTTTCAGTTTTTTCTTCAGACGACGCTACTTCGAACACTGTCCAAATGATATTATCAAATTAATAATACGTATGGGACCTCAGTTTTCGTATGGATAGGAGCGATACATGCGTGAGAGTGAGGGTAGGATAAAGAAGAGAGAGTGAGCGAGAGAGAGAGAGAGGTGAAGCAGAGACGTGAGTGAGTGAAAGAGGCAGGATATGATGGAAGAAGTGCTAGGAGAAGTAGGGGATGGGAAGAGATGATGAGGATGTTGGTGGGTGTAAGGAAAAACGTAGGAGGTGTGGTGCAAGGGATGGAGAGTGAATGTGAAGGAATGAATGAGAGGGAATGAAGGAGAAGAAGAGAAAGGAAGTTATATAAGAAGAAATAGGAAAAGGAGATTGTAAACGGAAACGGAAGTCCAGAGCGGGCGCGACGTGCGTGTGTGTGTGTATTTGTAGGATAGGAGATAATTCTAAGAGCGAAATATGTACAAGAGAAATGTATAGGATATAAGAACTGTATAAAGAATGTAAAATTGTCTTGTTGTATTGCGGTATTTAGATGTAAGGTACTGATTGTAACCCTAAGGGAAATCAATAAATTATATATATAAAATGCGTGTGGGATTTCTTTGAATTCTTTTTAGTATGCTACTACGAATATAACGTCAAGATATGTTATAAGAGACAACACATACCAATCGAGTGCTTAGCAGTGAAAAATGGCCCTCGAGCCACAAGGTACTGCCAAGATGGCCAAGATGCAAATCAACAATTAAACGTAGTCGCTGCAGAGATCCCAGATTCAAGTTCGATGCCTCAACTGTTTTGGTATAGATCAGCCCGTATAGATAGAGGCAGACGCTTGCTCTGACAAAAGAATAACCACGTGCGTGGTCACGTGACTCTTTCTCAGGATGCGTGTTGCCCCCACGTCTCACGGGTCATAGACATATAAAAGATAGACTGCTTATGAGGTAGTGGGGGATGTCCTCCTGAGGGAAAAGGACAACACCAATTTATTTGGGTATCTATCTTCTTCTAGTGTACGTGATCACGTGGGCGTGATCACGTGATCGCCTTCAGATCGCGTCCACTAGAGGAAGACAGATACCCAAATAAATTCATGTTGTCCTTTTCCCTCAGGAGGATGCCCCCACCTAGGGTTCCACTGCCTCATGAGCAGTCTATCTTTTATATGTCTATGCTTCAGCTTTCCCAAACCCATAATACCACCTGTTGATAGGTCAATGATATAATATTGCAATTTTAAATATAAATGAATAGAACATTATAAGTTTGTTTAATTAATAAACGTCTGTTTTTTTCTTTTCTCCAAATATAACGTATACTATTACTACTGTACTTTCAATTTTTATATGCATTCTAGTGTTAAGTAATACACTCTATAATATAATAAGAATATGCTCTAAGTATTAAGTAATATGTAATTTGAACTTGTACGTATGAATAAAATTATTATTAATTATATTTCACAGCTATGAAACTTATTAATTATATTTTGTTTAACTATTATTTCCTTTTAGTTATATAATTCTATCTCTATCTCTCTCTCTCGTTCTCTCTCTTTCGCTCTCGCTCTCGCTCTGTCAAGATAAAAGTGAGCAATGAAAACCGCAAAACTTTATAAAAGAAATTCAAACTATTATTGAATCTAATATTGTTCATCTACAGAACACTTGGACATTTCTAATAAGATAGGTACATTATTGATAAAAATAAATGTACAATACATATGTATAAACATAGGTGACACAAGTTTGTGAGGATTCTTAATTTTTTTTATTTCATCAGTGATTTTTATTGACCGTATTTGGCCATTTTTATAATACAGAAAATTTATTGCGAATAATATTACCTCAGCTAGGGTTGGAACCTGGACCTCCCTTCTCTCTAGGCGGGAGTCTCAACCAATTCGACTACCGAGGCATATGATAACATTAGTCGCAATAACAGTATATAGATGTTGTTTACGCGTCTATTTCGACTTTTTAGAACTGCGCGCCGATAAGGGTTGTCGACCGTTTTTTTATTTCCTTCCATTTTACAATAGATCAACAAGTAGCCTTAAGAAACTTATAACTACATGAAATATATTTAATAACAGTTTTATTCGTACACAAGGTACGTTCAAATGACAAAGTTTTCATTTGTATTAATACTTACATACATTTGCTTTGTATTCTTATATAAATAAAAATAAAAAGTTATATTTCCTAGAAAAGACAAAACACACCTTTACTTAAAAAAAAATCTATCATATTTTATTAATTTATAATTAAGACTGCGATATTATATGACAGAAATATTAGCAAATGTAAATCTCTTAACAGTCATAGTGGTTAAAAGGTATCACAAGTATTGACCGACTTTACTGATCTTTATCAATTCCATGATCTTATTTGAATCTTTTTCAGGTAGATTTCGAAATACCTCACTAATCGTAATTTCTTTTTCCGTGAAATTTAATAGAAAATGCCAAACGTGTTTTTAAAAAGTTTGCGTTCACCGAAAGCGCAAGCCGTACAAGATTACACATCATTTCCAATCGTAATATATCGTACCAAATTAAATTCACACCTTAATTTGAAAGTTGGCACATCATATTTTTCACATGTTTTTAACAATTCTTTAAGCATGCAATAATCACTTTTTTCTACTGACAATGAGCCAGTTGATATATATGATAAAATCTACGTAAAAGCTCGTATCTCTCTCACTATGTGTTTTTAATTTACTTGTCATATCTTTTTCTTCTCCTTCATGCGTACTAGAGACATTCATAAAGTAGCTACTGTTGGTAGTCCAAAGCAACTTTTTTGATAAAATATACGATTTCGTTCCTATTATAAATTTGATTAAGTTCTCATTCTCAGACTCAAGGGTTAAGGAGGATGTTAGTTCAGGCAGTAAGTTCATGTGTAAAAAAAATGATATAATAAAAATGCAGGTTTTGTTTTAAAAATTCAAGATTACCTTCATGTAACCATCAAACGACTATCCAAGGTCAAACCAATGATACCATCTTATGTCCCCCTTAAAACCATGTAACTTTTGTCTGAAACATTTGTTTCTAAAATTTAGTTTTCGAAAAATTTAGAGGTTTCCATACTTTTTCCTCACCGTGTATATGTATAAGATATGTGTACTTACTTCTTCCAAGTACCTTACAGGCGAGCTGCGGGCACCACGATCTAAACACTTTAAAACCATCAACTGATTATTTATCAAGTTTAACTCAAATGGTAGCCTTGTAACCTTTGTAAATATTTTCTTTCTTGATGATCGGATTACGTATTTTTTTTACATTGAATGTCATATAATTTGCTCAATATATATTACTAAACTTGAAATAAAGATAAATAAATAACGAAATATAAGTTTATCTATATAAATTAAGACAAGGTATAATTATTAATTCAATTGTACTTCAATTTACTTGCAATTTATTGACATCCAAATTAATGACAATATTGAAAACGCATAACGGTGACAAATATTAAAAATAACAATCAAGTTTAACTTTATGAAAAATAGCTTGCTGTCTCGTCGGAAATGGTAGTTGCAAAAGTTCCTAACATTATGATAGGTACACAGAACTACGATTAAAAATCTCAATAAAATATAATTTCGATAAAGATTATTATAAAACATAACTGACATAAATCTGTAAGGAATTTTTACTTTTTTATTTCCTTCCGTTCTAAATCAACACAAGTAGACGAGAAAATTATAAGCAATCTATACGAAATATATTTAATAGTAGTTTTATTCGTATACACAAGTTCAAATAAAATATTACTTTTAGTGTGTCTTAACACTTACACTTGCACATACATTCTTACATAAATAAAAATCAAAAGTTATATTTTTAAGAAACCAAACACATGTTTATTCATTGTAAATTAATCTTTGTCACGAAAAAAAATCTTTGTCGCGTTCTTTTTTTAATTAATTTATAACTAAAACTATAATATTATATGAATTGTAGTAAACAGCCAATGCAAATTTTTTAAGGCATAGATGATAGTATCACTGAACAGTATCACAAGTTTTGACTTCGAGTATTTCACTTTTCTTAATCAGTTCCATGATCTTATTTGAATCTTCTGGTGGTAGACTTAGAAATGCTCTAGAAGTCGTAATTATTTTTTCATGGAATTTAATGAAAGTTGCCAAATGTGTTTCTAAAACTTTTGCGTTTGACGAAAAAGCAAGCTGTACAAGTTCCACAGTATTGTCAACCGTAAAAGAACGTACCAAGTAATGTTCACATATAAATTTTAAAGTTGGTACATCATATTTATCAGATGTTTTTAACAATTTTTTAAACATGTAATAATCACTTTCGTTTACTGACAATGAGCCAGTTAAAATATATGATAAAATCTTTTTAAAAGTATGCATCTCACCAAGTTCATCTAATTCACTTGTCATATCTTTTTCCTCCCCTTCATGCGTAAGACAGACATTCATAAAGTAGCTACTGTTGGTAGCCCACAACAACTTTTTTGATATAATGTATGATTCCTCTCCTACTACAAATTTGATTGACTTCTCGTTCATAGACTCAAATTTAAGGCTTGAGTTGTTAAAACGTTTTATGCCTTTGAATATTTTTAAGGAAGATAGTAAATCTACATGCATTGTGTTACTTATTAATTTTTGATAAATTTTAATCTCGCAATGTATCACACAATCATAACGCCATGGGCATGATGGCTTAATTTCAACTAACAATGTCTCATCATAATACCAGAAACATATTTTAACGATTTATTTAACGCGCGGTTACCATCTGTTACAGTAGTAGTACACGAACCGGTAAACGCTGTAAACGCTGTAAGAGTACGTATATAAAATTGTATTTTTTTATCTTGATGTGAATAATTCATTTCAATCCTGAATTGATCTTGAGCAAACGGTGGAGATAGTAGTGTACTTGTGGCTGTGTAAAAACGATCAAATCCTACAATTTTCCATGTATATTCAAATGTGGTGAATTCCATTCGTGACTCAGAATAGCTTTTGGTACACGAAGGTAAATATGGTAAAGATTGAGTCATCTCACAATCAGTAGAGATATTATCAACTTCTTTGTGAGACACCTGGAAATATTTAAGTTACTTATCACTGAAATGATGAAAATAAACAACATCAAAATATAAAAGCTTAAAAGCCTCTATGCCTTTTAATAAGATCGGTTGAATTTAAAAACAATGTCTTAACATACAATATAATAACATATTTACATGTACAGGTAAGAGCTATTTGCAAGCTGAGTCCACCAAAAGTACATGGAGATTTTTTAGACTTTCTATGTACAGGTATTTAACGTATCTTATTTAATTAAAATAACATTTTATGTAAGAAAACCACTGATAATATGAAGAATCCAAATTGTAGGAGAGATCTTAAAACATGGCTATTTCTATTAATTCAGTTATAACCGATTTTATAAATACTTGAAAAGTTTGTCTAAATTTTGCCTTACACATTTCACTGAATAATTAACAAACTAACTTTCTAAGTGAGATCTCAAACAATCTATAATACTATAATTATAATCTATAATTGAAAACAGATTTGATATATAAATGTTTGTGAATTCTCCCTGTTATACATGGATTTATCGCTTTAAAAAATATCATCGAATGTATAGTTTGTACAAAATTTTATATGCCTTCTTGTAACACGCACTTGGCGAAGTTGAGAAAAGACTGTTGATACTCACTTGGTTCTTCGCCATTATATACGTTCGTCTTTCAAATATTTTGGTCGGTTAAAGATTTTCAGTTTTTTCTTCAGACGACGCTACTTCGAACACTGTCCAAATGATATTATCAAATTAATAATGCGTATGGGACGTCAGTTTTCGTATGAATAGGAGCGATACATGCGTGAGAGTGAGAGTAGGATAAAAAAGAGAGAGTGAGCGAGAGAGAAAGAGAGAGAGGTGAAGCAGAGACGTGAGTGAGTGAAAGAAGCAGGATATGATGGAAGAAGTGCTTGGGTAAGTAGGGGAGGGGAAGAGATGGATGAGGATGTTGGTGGGTCTAAGAAAAGACGTAGGGGGTGTGGTGCAAGGAATGGAGAGTGAATGTGAAGGAATGAATGAGAGGGAATGAAGGAGAAGAAGAGAAAGGAAGTATAAGGAGAAATAGGAAGAGGAGATTGTAAACGGAAACGGAAGTCCAGAGCGGGCGCGACGTGCATGTGTGTGTATGTGTAGGATAGGAGATAATTCTAAGAGCGAAATATGTACAAGAGAAATGTATAGAATATAAGAACTGTATAAAGAATGTAAAATTGTCTTGTATTGCGGTATTTAGATGTAAGGTACTGATTGTAACCCTAAGGGGAATCAATAAATTGTATATATATATATATATATATATATAATGCGTGTGGGATTTCTTTGAATTCTTTTTAGTAAGCTACTACGAATATAACGTCAAGATATGTTATAAGAGACAACACATACCAATCGAGTTCTTTGCAGTGAAAAATGGCCCTCGAGCCACAACACGGTACTGCCAAGATGGCCAAGATGCAAATCAACAATTGAACGTAGTCGCTGCAGAGATCCCAGATTCAAGTTCGACGCCTCAACTGTTTTGGTATAGATCAGCCCGTATAGATAGAGGAGGCAGACGTGTGCAGACGTGCTCTGACAAAAGAATAACCACGTGCGTGGTCACGTGACTCTTTCTCAGGATGCGTGTCGCCCCCACGCTCACGGGCCATAGACATATAAAAGATAGACTGCTTATAAGGTAGTGGGGGATGTCCTCCTGAGGGAAAAGGACAACACCAATTTATTTGGGTATCTATCTTCTTCTAGTGTACGAGATCACGTGATCACCTTCAGATCACGTCCACTAGAGGAAGATACCCAAATAAATTCATGTTGTCCTTTTCCCTCAGGAGGATGCCCTCATGTAGGGTTCCACTGCCTCATAAGCAGTCTATCTTGGTCTATCTTTTATATGTCTATGTTACGGGCTCGCACTACTCGCGGTTGTCGCCAAGCGCCACGGCTATAAATCTCGCGTCTCTGAACCAATCGACTCTTCGTTTTGACAAAATTTTTGACGCGTTGGATTCGTCGGAAATTTTCTTCCAACCAATCCAACGCGTCAGGAATTCTATTCCCTGTTCCTATTGCCTGTAAGTGAACTTATGCATATATATTATATATACATACATATATGTACATATGTATATGTATATATACATATATAAGAGATTTGCAAAAATTCTTTTATATTTTATTTTATTTTTCTTTTATCTCATATCAATATGTAGACTTTGAAAAATTATAATTAATCTTTATTAAATATAAATACATAAATTTTCAAGCCATGAATTATTTAAATTTTACATTAATATAACTTATTTGCAAATTCTAACATAGATACATTAACAATTCAAAGATATATTCATAAAAAATGGGAATGTTTTCCAATCAAACAAGAAAACTATTTCTCGCGATAACAAAAATTACGAGTGCTGATTTCAGGTATGTGACATTTCTCGATTGGGTTCATTATCTTATTTAAATCTTCTGGCGGTAGACTTTCAAATTCTTCACTATTCATTTCTTTCATGTGAAATTTAATAAAAGCCGCCGAATGTTCTTCTAAAACCGCGGCGGTACATGATAACGCAAGCTGTAGAAGTTCTATAGCATTTTTAGTCGTAATACAGCACAGTAAACAATGTTGACATGCTAACTTTAAACTTGTTACACCATATTTATCAGCTGTCATTAACAAATTTTTAAGCATATCATAATCATATGTACCTACCGAGCCAGTTAAAATAAATGCCAACATCTGTTTAAAACTTTGCAACTCACACTCCGTTAATTCATTTGTTATATCTTTTTCGTTTTCGTTAAGTGTAAGACAGACATTATTAAAGTACGCACTGTTGATGGCCCGCAACAAGTGTTTTGGTATTAAATACGATTTGTCTCCCACTACAAATTTGAATTTCCCTCTTTCTTCTGTAGACCCTTCAAGGTTTGAATCCTCAGAACGTTTTACGCATTTATATATTACTGGGGGTGGTAGTAAATTCATATTTATAGAGTTACTGATCGCTTCATGAAAAAATACAAACTTGCATTCTACTGTAAGCGTTTCTACACAAACGTACGCGTAGTTCCAGATTTCAATTAACAATGTCATATCCCGTATACAACCCGAAATCGATTTTGTCACTAAAACTGTATCAGAACAGCACTTTACAGTAGTAGTACATGAACCGGTCAATTCTGTATTAGTGCGCATATAAAATTGTGTTGTGTTTAATGGCGAATCAGCTGGACGTGAAATATTCATTTGAATCGAGTATTGATTGTCTTCTGCAAACGGTGGCGAAAGCAATGTACATACGCTTGCAGAAAAGTACATGAATTTTTCGATTGTCCATGTGTAATCAATTGTAGTCAATTCAACTCGCGTTCGAGAATATATCCTAGTATACGAAGATCGTTCAGTTTCTGTCAGTTTCGCCAACAGTTCCTCTACTGAATTACTTCTAGTGGCAATATTCGCAACTTCTTCCTTGTTGGAATTCTGAAAAAAAATTAACTTATTAACAATGAAAACAATCAACATCTAAATGTTTTAAAAGTCTCTGTGCCTTTGAATAGAATGTTTCAAATTGCAAACAAATATTTTAACACGCAGTAAGAACAATAATCATTTTCTTCGCCAACAACAGACAAATATAATATATATAATTATATTCAGTCGTGTTGGCTATAGTTTAATTAGAAAAACTTTATTGCGAAAAATTTTACCTCACCCTGACTGATATGACCAAGACGGGCGAATAATGACATCATTTGTATGCAATAACATGTTTACATATTATAGCTAAGAGTCGTTTGAAATCCGGTTCCACGAAAAGTACACAGAGATTTTTTTAAACATTTCACATTCGATATATCTTTTTTAAGTAAAATAACATTTGTAAGAAAATCACGAAGAAGAGTTGAATTAATAGCCAAGTTATGAAAAAATACTTAAACATGAATAGTTTCGTCAATCATGATTAATATTTATAAATACTTGAAAATTGCTGGAGTCTTGCGTTAAATTTCAAGAGTAATTAGCTAGTGAACTGGTTTCTTGTCTAAGTTTCAGACGATACTGTTATCTAATTTTATACCTCATGCATTTTGATATGTACATGTAGGACCAATTTCTTAAATGTTTTGCCATTATTACATATAAACAAAGTTTTATCTTGATTTCTAATGAATGGTAGTCGTCTGTAGTAGTTTTACAGAAATAATCGATTACATTCAAATTACATGCGCTAGTAAAAGACACGGATATGTATTATAACGTGTACATGAGTTTTCTTCGTTATACATGGAATTGTTATTTGAGAAAGTGTCACGAATATCACCGATTTGATTACACAACCTTTCGTGTCCTTTCTAATTAGTTTTCTAACATACCAATTTATATGGCGCAACAAAACTGAGAGAAGAACTGTTAGAAACTTACTTGCTTTTCCTCCTGGTCTTCATCACTTGACTGCATAAAGTCTGCATTGTATCGTACCATATTTCAGTAATATTTGGACCCTGCCTAGATGATAATATTATTAGGCTATTGCGTTTACAGACAGATGCGGCTACTGATTTCCTTTTATTCCTTTTTATCAGCTCAACTTCACAAGCTAAGATGAATATAGCACCACGGTATCGATGTCCTAAAAGTGTTACGTAGACAAATTAATCACCGATGTTTTTCTTTTGTCACGTAGCATTTGAAGACCCGAATCCTTTTGCTCATACGAAAATTGACAGTCTTATCTTAGGCTCGCCCAAGTATTTAATGTCCGACGCTGTTTTTGAAAGTACAAACCTGTCGCCTCGCAAGTTCTCGCACTGACTCTAATTTGAACTGTTCATTTTCACTGACTTTTCAGTCCGTTTCGACTGCGTGACTGTGCGTGACCTAACCGATCTCTACGACTGTGTTATTGTTTCTCATTAAACCCGGTCTACAAGGAGTTTTTGTGCAAAAGATAAAGGCTGGTGTAGACCTGGCCGAGGTAATATTTTCGGAAAATACAGTATAAAGGCATGTTCGGAAAAGCCATAGAACGTCCAGTATAAATACAGAGACGACGTCCTAAGGACATTATTTATAAGACATTTTTAGGATTTCTCTGAAATATTCGATTTTATACACAAATGTGACTGGATGTGATAATACATATTATGAATCAGCAAATAATGAAATTATTGATATCACTGGTCAATTATTACAGGCACTATTTTTTATGAATGTTTATTATAGATATTTTGTGTGTGTGTGTGTGTGCGCGCGCGTGCGTGCGTGTGTGCGTTTAAACATATAAAAAATTTCACAAATTCTGCTTAATTTTCTCGCGATTTGGAGGTCAGATCCATGAAGTTATTAATTTTTAGAATTAGTGTAGTTCTTTAAATAATTTACAGTTATTTTCCAAATATTTATATAACGCATTAGACATGAAATTTTACACTATTATGCTATAAAATGGGATGGTACTAATTTACTGAACATTTTATACAAATACAAAATTGTAAAAGTATCTTGCACATGATTGCTCAATTCCATACTCTTCCAAAAGAAACAATGCATTAGACGAGTTATGTATATTTATTTGATAAATGCAGTATACGTATGTTATAACTATGAGTAGACATATCGACTTTTTTAGATGTAGTTGTTATTGGAGTTTACAGGCGATTTATGGAACAATTATATTATATCCATAAATTTAACACAACGCTTATATTAAATTTTTTATTTTCACAACCCCTCGGGCTAGACGTCATGGCGTGACAAGCAATTCTTATCCGGCTAACTTCTATTTAATAAATATTTAATTAAAATTATTTGGATCACTCACGAACCTTTTTAATTGCACTACAAACATCTTCATACGAAATACCAACGATTCCACATAAAAACTTTATCTAATTTATCTATCGGCGCTAAGTATACGGTGGAAAAATAATTAATTAATTACAAACAAACGAATGACTCACAAACCTTTCTAATTGCACTACAAACGTCTACATACGAAATACAAACGATTGCATACAGGAGTTATTTAAAAATACGTTCAGTCGGCGTCAAGTGTGAGCGAATGATACAGGCACAACGGTAAGTACATGGAAATCACGTCGAAGGAGGCTCACATGCGGACGAGCCGGTCGGCGCCAATATGGCGCTGCGCGATGCGCGCGACCCGCGCGACCCGCTTCCGAACGTACCGTGGGCGAGACTCTATCGCTGTTCGATAAGCCGGGCGTGAACGCGCAGGAAACGTCAAGAGCACGCAGCCCGAGATGTCGAGGAACGACGGCAAGAAGGACACCTCGGCGTCCGCGTTCCGCAAGATCGACGTCGACCAGTACAGCGACAACAATTTCAAAGAGGAGGACGCGGACGGCGGCGTAGGCGCGCTCACCGGCCCGGACGAGAACGAGATCTTGACACTTCTTAGCCAATATCCTTTTTAAACTCTAGCGTACCGTAGAGCCTTTACCTTTTAGCGATTCCGCCGACGCGCGATTTTCCTTAACGCCATTTATTAAGGGTAAGAACGCGGAGGCGTTAATATCGGTGTTAAAGTCCGCGCCGTTGGAGTGCAAGAACCAGCAAGTGAAGGTAACCTCAAAAATGCGCTACGGTGATTCACCGTCTTGGCCTCGCTGAAGCGATTTCGCGATCTGCCAGGTGCGGAGTGACGTTATGGATTTGAGAATTGCATAAATTGTCTGCGGAGAGTAGCCGTTGCCTTACAACAAATCGATTTAGGTTTCGAGATTGAGAATTTTAACGTCTCGCTCAAGTCCGCGATCAGTGGAGCGTGCTATATATTATTAATGAGTTGCTGGGCGATTTGTCGGACTTTTACGTGTATTTTGTGATGATTTTAGAAAGACTACTTGTAAATTCGCATATAGATATCGTACAAATTTATGTACGATTCGTGAGGAGATGCTCTGCGCGCAGCTTGACTCTCCAGCATATTCCTAACGTCATTTTGCACGGTGTCGCGTGTAATTTGGTCAAATACGAACTTGCGCATGTGCAAATGTGTATGAAACGTACCTTTCTATTCGCAGGACAGTGCTCGGAATTTAACACAGAAGGTGCTTCTAAGTATAAAGTCGAATCAAATGGACGATTGCTTAGCACAATTAGATCGCGACTTAGTGGATGTTCTTATGAAGTATATTTACCGAGGTTTCGAAATCCCGACGGAAGGTAGCAGTAGTCACTTGTTACTCTGGCATGAAAAGGTATTTAACGTGAGCGGTGTCGGCTGCATCGTCCGCGTATTCTCCGACAGCAAGCGGGCTTGAAGACTTGTACATTTCGCAGTAACATGTTCATTATGACAATTACCATTAATTCTTACTGTTATTCATCGTCATTGTTAATGCGATGAGGATGTAGATAGGCAAGCCATTCACAATTTTCCATTTGTGGGAAATGCAACAAATTTGTGTACATTTGTTATCAATAAAGTAATTTTTATTTCTTGTACATTTGGGGAGGAGTGAGCCCTCTCGTCGTATCTTCCACCACTCTGCCCTCTTGTTCCATTCTAAAGAGTATAAATGAGTTTGTAGAAATTGCTCCGAATGAAAAGCAGTTCCGATAAAAAAAAAGTGAGATGCATTTTTCGCTATGAACCTGAATATTAATAATAAGTCCAAGTGTTACTACCAGATTTGCATGTCTTACTTGATACTTTATACTCTTTAGAGTCTTGAGAAGATAAAAGGATATATATATATATATATATATACCACATGTTATTCTCATATATATATATATAACAACAAGATCGTTTTCATATTTGAACAATATTTGTATATACTATTATTGACCATTACAATAAGAATTGACGATTAATATGACGTTGGCACAAAATAAAAGTATAAATATATAATTTGTGGAATAATATACCCCAACATCTTTATTACTTTATATATCTCTATATATATATTTAACAAAAACTATAGTGCAACCGATTAACGGTAACGTAATGATGTTAAAATCCTCTATACCGGATATTTAAGTTCTTATCATTGCTTGTATAATAGAATATATGTGAGATTAGGATGTTATGCAGATTGTAATATTTAAGGTTTATCTGACTCTTGTGATATTATCACATACAACACTGGAAATTCATTGTACAGTTATTTACTCACACTTGTCCTTCACTGTGAGCATAATCATATTTGTTTGGTGTATCAGGTACAGTGCACTGACAAATACTGCGTTTGCTCTAAAAGAAGTATACATTTCGTTACATCGCGACAAATACCTTTAAATCTTTAGCCGCGCGACTTATCAGTCTCGCTTCCGACTGGCTGTTCTGCCAATCTATGTACTTACTGTCCCTCCTTGAAGTACTCCTTCAATGTATTGCTGAACCTTTTACTGTATTTCACAAATTCTCTCTTGCGTTGATCTAAGGCTTGTTTACCAGTTGAACCGGGTATAAATGCGGTAACCTCGTTGACAGCGTCCAAAAGCTTCTTTATTGCACTCGCAATTTCTCTGAAAGAAAACGCGATCGGTTAGAGACGCGCCGCACCTTCTGTATACGCAAGATTGTAGATACGAATGTTTACAAACTTGATAGTCTCTAGGAAAGTCTTCCTGTCGGTGATCTCGTCGGGAATTCTGCTAAGTATTCTCTTTAGGGAAGTCGACTTGCGATTCAGTTCTTGAAATGCGTCTTCGGAACGTGCTGAACGATACTCCACCACTACAGGCAAGGGGCAAAGCATGTCGGCTTGTCTCAAATGTTATGGTAAACAAAATCGGGCGTGCAGTAGAACGCAGTAGAAACCGTTGGTCGTTTAAGCCTCCGCTACAATGATTCTCGGTTCTGTCTACAATGGTCGTAGTCGTAAGAATAATCGACTGCGATTGGTCAATTCAGTCAGACGCATAAGAATTGACC